GAATCCCTGACTTCCTGTTTTGGAGGACAGACAGACAGAAGCCCTTCACACCTGCAGACAATCAGACTCCATCTGTCTGTCTGTCAGGAAGTGTGTGTCTGTCTCTGCATGTGTTCAGAAAATAGATAGATAGATAGATAGATAGATAGATAGGCAGTATTTTTAATGAAATGCAGTAGATGAGGACACACACACGCACACACACACTTGGCCGTTTGACAGGAAGTTTAATTGTTGAGTAAAACCCTGAGGACACACAGACGACAGCTGCCAACAACACCCACACGAGAAGCTCGAGCTGAAGCTGGACGTTTCTACAATTACACTAAAAGAGCTTTTATTTATCAGTCAGACGTCGGAAGGCATGCAGTAGATTGTGTGCAACAGTTTTTTTTAAGTTGCATTATTTACATTCTCACATTTGGCAGATGGTTTTATCTGAAGCGACTTACATTGCATTCAAGCTGTACATGTTTTCAGTTTTCCATTTTGCATGCATTCCCTGCGAATCAAACCCATGCCTTTGGCATTTCCAGCACCATGTGCTACTGTTTGAAATTATGATGCAATATTTAATTCATTATTTACTTGTTTTATTAACTCGAGCCCAAAATTTTTGCATGCAGCCCTGATTTTCCTGCATTACACAAGCGGAGCGTGTAAATGTTGTTGTGAACGTGCAGCGTGTTCCAGTGTGTTTGTGGAGAGCCGTTTCTCCTGACACACAAAAGCTCCTGCGGCTTCATTGTGTCTCTGTGGGTTTGGTCTTTGCTTACAGTAAGAGGAACATCTGAGCGCGCTGGTTTTGTCTTTCAGCTGAAGGTCACGCAGATGTAAGCGGATCTGTTTCCGGCGTTACGCGAGTATCTGTGTCTGCACTGATAGCAGAAGCCCATCCACACCCCTCACCGCAGCCAATCACACGCTCCTCAGCAACATATTCTGTCTGAAATCACTTCAGATAGACAAGCCTTCATCTCTGTTAGAGGCTCTTCGACTTCTTTACTTGCTTTTAAGTGTCTCAATCGAGCGACTGTTCCTTTCAACACAATCACACTCGAAAAATAATCATGCCTAAATTTAAGAATGATGTATTTGAATTGCATGTCAAGTTTCCATGCATTTGGATTACACAGTTTTAACATAAACTAATAAACGTAACATGATGCATTCATGCATAAATCAAACGGCTCCGATTTTTGTAATAATACTAATAAACTCAATGCGTTTTAATTAAATAACCAGGTTTATGTATTATTTATTATCAATAAATCCAGTTTGTTTCAATCTCACACATTTTATCTTCTTGAATATTGCTTGCTCCACAGCTATTTTAACCATGTTCATACTTTTAAACTGAATAAATTTAATTATTTTCATAATGAACAATTTATGCTGGATCTAAGCAATTTGAATACATGCATTTATATGAAAACAGGATTATATAAATGTAATCAAATAGTTAATAATAATAAACTATGCCATGATTTCTGAGTGCAGAAATCTGACCCGTTTCATTGATGTATGACTGACAATCATGCATCACATTAAGTTTATTAGTTTTTTTTATGTTAACAAGTAATACATAAGCCAATTTAGGCCTAAATATTTATATTTATAGGAATAGATTACTGATGGATGCATACAGGCGACAACACATCCGCTTCATAAAACAACTGGTTGAGTGTCTACTTGTGTGTGTGTTGTATTTGCATGTATATGTATGTTCTCTCTCTGTGTGTGTGTGTGTGAGTGTGAGTGTGTGTGTGTGAGTGTGAGTGTGAGTGTGAGTGTGTGTGTGTGTGTGTCTGTCAGTGTCAGTGTGAGTGAGTGTGAGTGTGAGTGTGCGTGCGTGTCTTCTGTGTGTGTGTGTGTGATTGTGTGTGGTGTGTGTGTGTGTGTGTGTGAGTGTGTGTGTGTGTGTGTGTGTGTGTGTGTGTGTGTGTGTGTGTGTGTGTGTCTGTGAGTGTGAGTGTGCGTGCATGCGTGCGTGCGTGTCTGTCTGTGTGTGTGAGTGAGTGAGTGAGTGAGTGAGAGAGTGTGTGAGTGTGCGTGTGCGCGTGTGTGTGTGTGTGTGTCTGTCTGTGTGTGATTTACTTGCTATGTTTGGTGCATTTTGTGTACTGTAACCTATTTTTTTTATCTTAAATTTAAATTTTTGAATGTATCTTTAGTTGTTTGCTCTGTATTATGTGTTGGTGAGGTGGTGAGGTTTTGTAATGCTGGGAGTGTTTTTTTTAGTCTGTCAACTGAAGCCATATGGTTTCCATCAGGTCCTCCCTTCAACTTCTATGTCTCCCTTGCAGTGCTCAGGTCGATACACACACACACACACGCAAACACACACAGGGCAATTATTCTGTCAGCAAGCCAAGATCTCCGATGAGGAGCGACGGCGTTATAAAAGCACCTTAAACACACACACACAGAGCGGCTCAGGAAGTGTTTGTGTGCTGCTGAGTGATGAATGAGAGAGAGAGAGAAGTAAAACATGTCGACTCCTGCAGTCCTGAAACGCTGCTGAACGTCCCAGTGATGCAGTGAAACCGTCTGAATGCCTCGTACAGCAGACACCGAATCGTGCTTCGCTGGAAATCGAGTCCTGTCAGGATTAGGCTGGGAAATCTCATTATCTGTGTGTTAGAAGTAAAACAAGTCTGTGTATCAGTGTCGTTACTGTTGACTAAAGCTAAAGCTATTAAACCGTTTTCATTAATTGCAATAAAAGTAAAATATTTAATGAACTTAAAAATCTTAAACAAAAATTGCCAATGAAATAACCTAAAAAAAAAATAGGTTTAAATTAAAGTACTTAAATTACTCAAACTAAAACTGGAATAAATATAAATTAAAGCTAAATAGTTTTTTTTTTTTTTTTTAGTTTTTTGCCTTGGCAACTAAATAAAATAAATAGGTTTTAAGACATAAAATTACTAAAAATACAACTGAAATAAAAATAAATTAAGCTATATTTAAATATTTAACAAACTAATAAAAATTTATAAAAGCGCATAACAAAATTGCTAAAATTTTAACTAAAATTAAAATATAAACTTCTAATATAGAATTGTAGAGAAATAAGCTTTTAAATTTACTTAAGTACTAAAATTGTCCAGTATTGTTTTTAGGGCTTCTTCAGGGATATCTTCAATTGGAAAAAGTGGATCATATATCAAAAACAATGTTACTAAAGTTGTCTTTCAGTGTTAGTGTATTGTTAATGGGGAGGTTTGCAGTGTTTTCCATCACATGTCCTTTTGTTTGTCTCCAGACATGATACACAAACTGTTCTCATGAGCTGTTATGGTTACTGCACTCTCTCTGTTTGTCTCACACACACACACACACACACACCACACACACACACACACACACA